CAGATTTTCTTTTTTCTTCTTGTTTCTTGTTTCTACGCTTGAGGCCTCTCCAATTAGTTCTTGTGACATCGAGTTTTGGAGCAGGTAGGAGAGAGGTTAGGAAGTTTGTAGGAGGAAGGGTATAGGGGATTGCTCCGTATTCCTTCTATTATACTCTTTCCTAGTTACGGGGCATTTTAAGGAAAGCCCATAACTGCACCCCTTAGGCAAAGTGGATTGCTCTTTATTCCTTCTTTCCTAGTTAAGGGTCATTTTAAGGAAAGCCCATAACTGCACCCCTTAGGCAAAGTGGGAGTTGTAAGCCCTAGAGCCCCATTGAGAGGAATCTTCAGACTGAAGATGAAGTCTTGATTTATTTTATGTAGATTCCTTACTTCCCCTGAAGGATACAAGATGTCCAGCTAAACAAAGCAGTCCCCCAAACTGTAAAGCCAGGACCGCTATAAGAGAGGTCTGCTCTCTTCCGAGTGCCATAGACAACTGTAAGTTCTATATGGTAAATAATGGGGACATTACAATGTTGTTTATTGTTGTAGTCATAATTTAAAATGACGTGCCATTACAAAAACGGGCATGCACAATATACAAAGGTCCTTAAACCTTAATCTGATCAACTATGTGGAGGAGAACATTGTTTAATTATGATAATTTGTTAATTGTTTCTAAAGCAAAAAATGTGCATCACACTTTTGGGGAGCAACCATAAAAAATTTAAACAAAAACATCCAGTTGTCTGAAATTCATTCTTTTGCAATACTTTATTGAAGAGTTATATTTTATTTGGAGAACCCAGTAAGAGTTAAAGAAAGTACTTTATTTATTCTTTTTTCCACAATTACCCAAGCAATTGAATTCTTATATAAATAAATAAATAAATTACATCATTCTGCTTTGGGACAAAAGTTGTAATTTCAAGTGACCTTCTATTTGAGCTGGGCCATGCACGATTTACAAAGGTACCCTTCAAACCCTTAATCTAAACCAATAATTTTAAAGATAGAATTTTTTTTAAACCATGGAAGTTGAAGTTTTAAATTCTGACATTTTCTGAAGCAGAAATACGCAATTCACTTTATCAAGAAATACAATTGAAGAAAATCAATTTTCAGAGAGAAAACAACGCTATTAAGCTGCTAAGCATATATACCATAAACCATTGTTGAATCGGAACATCCTAAATATGAACAAGCACTTAAAATTACGTCTCTAGTCCCTTTAATTAATTAAAATTAAAATTTTACCTTTTCAGCAAGATTCTTTAGTAGTTCCAGATGCTTCATCTTAGCATCATAAACTTCAAAAATACCATAATTAGACTAGTAAAATATTTAATGCAGATGCTTCATCTTAGCATCATAAACTATAAAAATACCATAATTAGACTAGTAAAATATTTAATGCAGATGCTTCAGCTTAGCATCATAAACTTAAAAAATACCATAATTAGATTGGTAAAATATTTAATGCAGATGCTTCATCTTAGCATCATAAACTTAAAAATACCATAATTAGATTAGTAACATATTTAATGCAGATGCTTCATCTTAGCATCATAAACTTAAAAAACACCATAATTAGATTAGTAAAATATTTAATGCAGATGCTTCATCTTAGGATCATGAACTTAAAAAATACCATAATTAGATTAGTAAAATATTTAATGCAGATGCTTCATCTTAGGATCATAAACTTAAATATAAACCACAATTAGATAAGTAAATTATTTTTAATCCAGATGCTTCATATTAAGATCATAAAATTTAAAAAATCCATAATTAGACTAGTAAAATATTTTAACTTAAGTTATATTACATCTCACTCTATTCTAATTGATTACCTGTCATTATAAATGCCATTTGTTATTTTAAGTAAATGATTAAAGTAGTTAAGCTTTGGCTTCTACAACAACAAAAATCTTTTTACCTTTACAAAAGAAGAGAATTATTATTTTTGTGGAAAAAACTATAAGTTCAAGTCTCATTTTTCAATGCCCTGCCCGGCGCCCGGAGATTGAAAAAAATTAACCATGAATAAAGGTCGCTGGAAAAAATGTTTCACCTTCACTGTTATTGTTCTTCTGAGCTCGGTACTGCTCTTTTCTCTTCTTCTCCTAAAAAAAATAAATCTTGACAAAAACAACAAATTGCTACGATAGCTTTTAAAAGAACTTTAGCTAGCATTGATGAAATAGAATGATTTTTTTAATCTTAAGTTACTTTTATTACCGCTAGATGGTTCTCAGCTCTTCTCTTTTCTTCTGCTTCCTCTGTCATCTGAAGTAAAACCATGAAGCCAGAATTTCATAAATAAAAAAAGATTGCAACATCCCCCCCCACGCCCTCCACCCCGATCCTGGGGTTAGCACACGATTTGATAAATTTTCAATAAAAATATAAATTTTTTTAGGACCATCCATACATGAAACAAAATATAAATAATTCAATTTTAGAAAATATTACAA